TTGCAACTCAAAAAACCATAGTACAGGGATCCCTCGATCAATGCGCATTTGATTAATGCGTTTTCGTTTAGTGTGCTTAATTTTCTTTACAACCAATATTCCATTAGTGCGTGCATAATACTCGATTAGTGCGGTAACACACATTTCATTTTAACCATAGTAATTGAAAAGTAAGTTTTAGGCACCGAAATTAAATAAAATTAAAAATAGAAAATGGGTAAGTATTTTACTTGTCAAGTTATTACTAGAGTTAAAAATATGCAAGGTGTTTGAATGACAGTTCTTCAACACTGTGCACAGGACGTCACAGGCTTTTCAAAAGATACACAAGAGGTCATTAAAAGAGATTACTCATATTGGAAATCAACTTGGCTTTGCTGAGATTGACGACGAAAATGTTCAAGAATTGCTAGAAGCTTATTCAGAAGAACTAACCAATAAGGAGAGCATATGAAGACATTGATGAATGTGAAGAAATCTTACCTACCCGCCAGCATAAGAAGGAATTAGAAGAACTTTTCACGGTTATTGAAGAATATAAGGGAAAAGGTTTAGTTTGTTTTTGAATTTCGCGCAAAGCTACACGAGGGCTATCTGCGCTAGCCATCCCTAATTTACCAGTGTAAGACGAGAGGGAAGGCAACTAGTCATCACCACCCACCGCCAACTCTTGGGCTACTCTTTTACCAACGAATAGTGGGATTGACCGTCACATTATAATGTCCCCACGGCTGCAAGGGCGAGCATGTTTGGTGTGACGGGGATTCGAACTCGCGACCCTCAGATTGCGAGTCAAGCGCCTTATCCACCTGGCCATGCCAGGCCTGGAAAATGTTTAGAAACAGACCCTGATGAAGATAGAAGCTGTCAAATTTGCAGAAAAATTGATGAGGCAATTTCTCAGTACCACCAATTATATGAAGAACAGAAGAATACGATGCGACAAGCCACTCTAAATAAGTTTTTCATTAAAAAATCAGATCAATAAATTTTAATTCATTGCATTTTTTTCGTATTTTCTTATATACCTATACTTTGATTAAAAAATATGCAAAATAGAAATTAATTGTGAATGAGAATGAAAATTGAGGTACGAATTACATGATTTCCTATGAGTTATTATATTCGATTAGTGTGGCTCTTTTACAGAACACATTAACCGCACTAATCGAGGGATTCCTGTATATCTATTAAAAACAGTCATTTTAAACAAAGAACCCAACATAAACAAACGAAAAATCAAGGAATCCATCTTAATTGAACAAAACAACCAACACCCCGGGGTGCCTAGATACCTGATTTTTTTGCATACAACATACTTGTAATATTCACTAGAGGCCAGGTAAATTACATGAAGATACACTAAGTAGATTCAGTTATAGTATGTATAGTGTTATGTATCCTGGTGTTAAAAGGCCACTCAAATTACATCTGCCCATATTTACAGGGTTAAACACTTTTAACAATATTTAATGGCAATTAACTACTAAGAAGTTCAATGACAATCCAAGTAAAATTGATACCCAAGCCATATTTCTTTGTTGTGTTGAAAAAGTTCACAAAACATACACACCTGTCTAGCTATAGATGAAAACTTCATTACTGCCAAAGTTTCGTCATACATTGATGCACATTGGTTAACGTTGACTATCATTGAAGCTTGGCCCTTACCAGTAAAAAATGCTTGAAACAAGCGAGTTAGCTTACTTTCCCTGAATGGAACTACCTTCTTTTCTCTGAAATAGAGAAACAGTTAAGCTTCGCATCAGGCTCATGTGTTTTGAGCAACATGTTAATGTAATTTAGGGATTAAAAAAAATTATAATTTCTTTATACTTGCAAGTACGGACAAAAAATATTAATTCAGAATACATTTATTGATATTTATTATCCCATGCTCATTTTCCCATTATTTCAAAAAATTATGTAGACTACCCTGCTTTTCTTACTAGCAAGTAGAGTGTAAAATTGTTTTTTTATGATTAGGAATTAACTATTCATTCTTCAGCTTTTGCATTAACCAATTATGTGGCTTCAACAATGCAATTCACAAAATGAAATACAGCATTAATATATTTTTACTTAGTTATAAATATATATATACAAGTTTACACCTTACAATTCTGATATTCTTCTTTTACTAATGGAAGAAATATTTCTAGCAATAATTAAAAAAAAAACATCCTTGGTGTTAAACTTAAATTATACGTTCATATAACCTATTATGTTTATTTCTACATTACTTTCCCCACAGAGTAAAAACAACTAGAGGGATAGTGACAACTATATTTATGGTCATTCACATATCAAAAATTGTGTCCCACTCAAACAAATACACCAAGTATCGCTGCACAATAAACTGCTTGAGAAACAACAAAGACAATAAAGATGTGTGATTTCATCATTTCACTATGAAGGATATGGAAATGTGAATACCTCTCAAAATCTCATTCTTTAATTTTAACCCAAGTAACTCCATTCAAATCCCGATTTGCACACCTTGTACCGTCACATTTCAGTTTGTTGTTTTTCCTCATCATTGACCTTATCTGATCTCTAATTCTTTCTATGCCAAAGGTAACAGAAAAAGTGCCACATTCAAGTTTCATCTCAAAGAGTGTCTGTACCACTTTCACAATATGGGATTTTATGTAAAAACAATTACTATTGATATCTGCTTCACTAATGAGAAACCATTCTTTTGGTACAACGAATACAAGTACTTCATCATGTTTGATCCACCACAGTTACTGAAGTGCTTCAAAAAAGAGCCTCCACAAATACAATTTTCTTGTTGATGGTAATGTTATTTCTTGGAAGCATATAGGAAAATTATCTGGCACTGATTCCTGTAAGGGTTTATGTCTTGCTCCCAAGCACACTGCAAAACATGCAAGTCTCTTCCTTTCCCTTCCCAAAGATGAAAGTAAAGACAACTACTGAAGTTTTAGTGGGATGGTGTCATTAGCAATCCTGAGTTATATTTTATGGGACATTTATCCCAGAAGGTTTTTCACACTATCAATTTCACAGGTAAAATTGACAATCCTTTTGACTCATTCAAAAGTTCAGCACTTTGAAACACTAATCATTTCAACAGGGGAATTAAGACTGGATCTTGTCACTTGCCCTTGCATAAGATGTTTTCACCAGTGACTAATCCCTTCCATTACAGGATGGCAGATTTTGACCAACTATGGGATGAATTAAGCACCTTCAAGAGCCTCAAGACAGTAGATTTTTTGCTTACATGCAGACTAGCAGGACTGTCTTGAAAATATTTTCTCAATAACTTGTGCAAAAGGGACACTTTTCAGACAATCAAGGTCCAAAATACTTCACTGAAAGATTCAAACACGTCATGCTGAATTCAATATTATCATCAGCCCCAAATGTAAATTGTCAGCTTGATGTTGCTAAACAATTATTGTCCCACTGCTTTTTTCAAGGACCAGTTTCTGTTTCTGTGAGTGAAGGTAGTGTCCAATCTGGCACCACTTTTGAGTCTTCCAAAAGAGAACACCCTCTATTATGTCACACACACTGCAGTCAGCCTGTGGCAATATTTAGCAAGATATCAATTGAGAACTGTAAGCGTGCCATGAAATGTACAGAAAAGGTGAAGCACATCAACAAGAACGAATGTTCACTTTTTTTTCAAGGAATAATGATGGTTATGGTGATTTAACTTCTCCTACTCCAGAATTTCACCAGTTCTTGATGAAGTGCAAAGAGAAGTTTTTAAGTTATATTCTGGCAGTTAACCACAAGTAGCAAAATCAATCAGAAATCAGGTGATCCTCATCTCACTTCAATTCACTCAGAGAAGTAATTCAACAGTATATTAGAAAGAGGATGTTCTTTGAAATGAAATTTTTCAATGAAGCACTATATGAGAAAAAGCTGATGAGTAAAAAAGAGGAAAAAGAACAAGACATTCAAGAAACTTTCTTACCAGTGATTTTAGATTGTGCCCATATAATTAATATTTACTAGATGGAAATTACCAAATACTATTTTTACTATGATCTTTAACTTTATAGTCATTAGGAATATTAGATAGAATAGAAAAATACAATTTTCAAAGAATGTTAGTCATTTTCACTTTTTTTTGTACATATTATTGTAACTAAACAGATCTGTATTACTATGGTAATCTGTTATTAATAACAAAATAATTGTCAAGTTTTTATAAATGTACACTGTGCATTATAGTTTTACTTGAAATGTACCTAAATTTCTTGTTTATTATCTAAGTAGAAGAACCCTGGTATAATTTCTTATTCCTCATATTTTAACAAATTATTATTTTATATTAATAATGAATAAGTAATAAACAATTAGTAATTTGGGACCAACAAACTCCCATTACCTTTTATGTGATACATTACGATTTTACTGAAAATGCAAATATATTTTGATAAGCAAATTAGGCAATAGATTGTGATGACTCTACTTAGTTAAAAAAACAGTTATTTTTAAATTGTACTCTGCAGTAGCCAGGCACCATCATAACAATCTATTAAATACTATTATCACACCACTGCTTATATACCATTCATCATTGTTGAAATCTGATCATTTAGTTTTCTACTTGTGTCATCCACTAAAGTGTGTATAAATAGCCCTTGATAATGGTGGGTGAATGACCATAATTACAAGCAGAGCTAGTGAGCCACTGTGTATGTCCAGCAGGCATGTGCTGTCCTTCTACTCTGTGCTTTTATTTTCATTTTTAGAGAGGGTATAATACATGTATTTACCACTCTTATTAACCACAATGTTTAAGACCAGATAGCATACATCATAAAAAAATCACTGTCACCAAAAGTTCATTTTCAATTAAAAAACAATAGCAACCTGAATAGCTTAGAAGACTCTTACCAACATGAGTTCATTTCTACAAAAGTACTTTTAATTCAAAATGAAACACTGAAAATTTGTACTAGCAACATGAACTTTACCTCTAAAAAAATCCCCAGTTTCAAAACATAATGTAATGTGATCTGTTGGATATATTCGAGTGCATTTACCTATTCCCATGTCTTTTTATTATCATTAATATTAAGGATTAGTAGATTCAAATGCACTATGCTTTAAAACAGCAATAACTCAGAAACATCTGGTATGAAAATTGAAAAAACAAGTAATTTCTAAAAATAATTAAAATACATGATACAAGGTTGATAGGTTCTGTAAAGAATGAATAACATAATAAGAAATAAACAAAAATGTCACAAACTTGTGAAGCTGGTTGTGACGGAGAGCTTCTATACATCGACCAAGAACTAGCAAAGAAGTGTTGATATTTCCAGCTTCTTTTAACCGTTCTCCTGTGTTATGAGTTTTGCAACAACGTTCACTACCAGCTAAGTCACAAAATGATAACCTGTATACAAATTAAAACAGTAAATATCACTAATTTATAAGCTGCCTCTGTTTATATTTCACAACTGAATCACAAGTATAAAACATATTTTTGGCAATGTCAAAACCTCACAGGACAAGTTGTAATGCCAGAAAGAATCACATAAATATTTACTCCTTGATACTTGGATATTTAAATTTTAAAATTTTATTTGAGATAATACACTAAGCAGTCTTTAAATATACTATACATATCTTATTACTAAATGAAATTCTTCAAATATAATATAGGTAAAAACCTACTATTGAATAGAACAGTGTTTTATGCATTCTTTTTTGAATTATGTATAAACAAGTTCTGTGGTGTAACAGCAACAAACTTTTATAGCTTTTTATTTAGCTTCAAAACACACAAGAATAGGCTGGTTATCATTTTTAACACAGGTTCAGCTCATTTCACCAATCTCGTAATCACAAACTAGTCATTACAGTTTTCATACTATACCTTTTAACCCTCTTGTTATGAGCAAGTCAAAATGCACATCATGACTTTATCGAGTTACATTCAAAATTTAATTAACTCTCTCAACATAGGCTCGGTTGATTTGACTGATCATGTGACTGTTTTGTAATAGTATAAAGTCTTTATACATTTGATACTACTAACTTTTAATATAGTATGTATATCTTCACGAAATTCGGTAGTCTTGCAGTAAACATTACAAGTCTTTCACATACAAAAAAAAATCATTTTTTTGTGAAGCATTTTAAATACACTAAAAAAAGATTCGTCTGTGAATATAGAGTATTTCTTTTGAATAGTCCGTGTGCAAATTTTATATTCTATGATGTTTTCTCTAAAATAACTCTATACAAGGTCAGTCGATTTGACGACCTTGTAACCACCACCACCACATACACACACAAAAAAATAAATCAATTAAAATTACCCTTTTACTCTTTCTAGAATATCTTTAAATTGCAACATGAAACTACATTCGTTTATACTAAGTAGCTTTAAATCATAACAATATACATCTATTTATAATTAAATATTATTGCATTTTGAACCATGTTTAACTACTATTTGCACCATAAGTTGTAACTCACCTGAAGAATGTAGAGCTCACATTACACCATCGAATTACTTTAGCCATGACCTGCTCGTGAAACACTTTTATATATTATTATTTATTTTACCTAATCTAACCTTAACTAACCTAAAGAGACCCCCATTTTTACATTTTAGTTACTTTTATAATAATAAAGAACAAACATGAAAAACAAAAATTAAATACTTATCCAAGTATTCTTTTTTTTGTGCCGTCGACTATCAATGACACTTAACCTTACTTTTTATTTAATTAAATAATGCATGAAAGAACATAGAATATTAACATGCAAAAAGCAAATAATTTTTTCTAACAATCATAACTTTTCTTCCTTTCGAACTACGCGACAAGAGATGTTACAAATTCATCCAAACTAGTCGTTACGCTTCCTGTGGGAACAAAACCCATACTACAAATAAAACTGATGATTATCTGTTCAGAACATGTTACACAATATGTCATTTGATAAATGAAATCCTTGGCTTTCTATTGTTTTTAATGTATATTGTACAATTATCATTATAAAAGCAACCAACTTGTAAAAATTAGAAACTAACAAGGTTAAATAGGGTAGATTAGGTATAAAAAGAGAAAGAAAGAAAGAAAGAAGAATTTTTCCGAAGTACACTAGTGAGTAGCTTGAGCATTACATAAATTGATAGGGTAATGTGAGCTACACATTAGCCAAGTGATTTACAACTTGTGTAGTAAGATTATTAGTTAGACATGGTTTAAAGGACAATAATACAATAAACTTTAAACTATTTAGGATAAATAAATGTAGTTGCCTGTTACAATTTGAAGTCATTCTAGAAAAAAAAAAGTAATTTAATTTTATATTTTTTTATGGTGGTTACGAGATTGGTCAATTGACCAATCATGTATAGAGTTAGGGTAGAGAAAATAACAGATAAAATTTAGTTTTATTGAAAAAGAAGAAGAAGAAAAAAAAAACGTATGCTAGGAGCAGCCAACACTGACTCCATAAATTCTCAGAAAATACTTCATTAAAAATGGTTTTTTTTGTTTATAAAATTTATAATGCTTACTGAATGCTTCTAAAATTTTGTAAAGATACACAAAACATCTTATAAGTTCTAGTATAGAAACTATAAATGTCAATTTTGGGTCACAAATGTGGGTGATTCGACTGAGCTCATAGTGAAAGAGTTAAGTGTATCTTCATGAAATTTGGGAAGTTTAAGTTTTTTGTACATAAAAAATCAGATTTTTTTAATCAAGCATTTTTACTAAAGATTTGTCTGCAAATGTCAGAATGTTGACTATTCCGTATGCAAAGTGATTTTCATTTTCATATTAAAAATACTTTTATTCATCTAAGAATATTTATACTTCATTTGCAAAACCTCTTAAATAAATATCAAATATTTTTTCCAGTAAAACTTTATACTTTATCTGTTATTTTCTCTATTTTTACTCTATATAGACTCACTTGATTTGACCAACTTTGTAATCACCATAAAAAATATGAAATAAATCTAAATTACTCTTTTTCTTTGTAGAATGACTGCAGATTGTAATAGGATCTTACATTTATTTATCATAAATAGCTTAAGGCTTGTAATAGTATATATCTGTTTATACATGATTTTATTGCTCTTTGAACCATGTTTAACTAATAATCCTGCCACACAAGTGTGTAAATCACTCGGCAAATGGGTAGCTCGTTTTACCTTCTTGAATTACATATCACACAAGCTAATCGCATGATTCTCATACTAGTAGAGATTTAGGATATCTTAAAATATTCCCTTATAAAATTAAGAGATCAAACTTATATAATATTAAAATTTGATGTATTAACTACATTTTAACATCAAGTTTATTTGTACACATTGACAATAAAGTAGTTTAATTCAATTTTGAATTAACTCTCTAATAGGTTGTGACATGCACACTCTGACCTTCCCATAGCAAGAGGGTTAACAAACAGTAGTACAAACCTACAAATCTGCTATTACACATACAATCATTCTGACAAAATCTTATCACAAAGTACAACATAACAGTTATTATGTTTAAACCTTATATATACCTTCAGTGAACGTAGTAACTAATCAATAATATACAATTTATTTTTTAATCTTCCTAATTTGCAAAACAATCAGAAAAACATGAATTAGATAGATTATGACAGCACTAACAAACTAAATACCTAAGTCACACTTACTTGCTAATCCTTGCATTATGTGGTTTGGCAACATCTACCACACGAACAAGTCGAATGGAGAAGATACAGTGACTATACAAATAAATAAGAATACATGATTAGTTTGATTTAATGCTTTAAAAATATGTTGAATTGTCTATTTAAGAAAATTAGTTAAATGGTTAAATGTCATATAAATGTATTTTGTAATTTAGTAGCCATGAATGACAGTAACAGGATGTCAGTCAGTCTATGAGAATTTCTACCATATCTTTCAAGTGGCTGTGAAATCCTCTGATGCATACCTCCTAAAATGACATTAGTTGAAACATGGGATCTATAATATACCATTAAGATATGCTCAAACTATGATATTTTGTTTTGTTTGTTTGGCTAATTTATAAGAATTAGAATTGTGTACATATTGCCACACATATAAAATGGAACTACCATGACCCATTTTATCAATTTGTCAATTAAACTTGTCTTAAAATAAAAATAACCACACTGAAAGACATCATATTTGTTTGACCTTAAAAAGTTTTTACAATGAATTGTCATTCTGTGATTTCTTCTTGATAATGGTTTGGTTTGTTTGTTTTAGCACAAAACTACTAAACAGGCTATCTGCACTCTCTCCACTCTGAGGAATCAAACCACAGATTTTAACACTAAGTAGGTAAATCTATTACAAGAGCCGCTTGAAAACAGGGTTTGTCTACTGCATGAAATATGCACACTAGATGTTAATCTAATTTTCAAAATAAAAAAATAAAAAAGAGGTGAAAAATCAAACTGATGGATGCAACTTATGATTTTACAATAACAGTGGAAATTTATAAGTCATTATTTAAAATGCAAATAGGATTATTATTTTAAATCTAAAATTTTTTAAATTTCTTAAAACTCTGTAAAAAGTAAATTTTAATTTATAGAAATATTATTTTTATTGAATTAGTTTGCATGTAATAACTGGTATTTCAAAAAAGCTTTACTATAATGTTCTTGCTTGGGCACACTAAATATCTGATCGTTAGAATGTATCAGAGTTGAATATAGTTTACTCCGGAAAGAAACAATAATCCTCAGTAATAAAAAATACACAAAAAAATAACCAGGTATAAAATTATTTTACTTTTCCTATCTACATTTCAATACTTATCTGGTTTTTCCCTCAGCCCAGTCATGTGTGCTAAGAAGCCCCAACAAAACTGGGAGGCCAAACTTTCTGCACCCAGCTAGATATGTAGGACTAACAAGAAGCCCCAGATCTAGCTGCTAGGAGAGCAAGGATTATGTCATCATTGGGCAAACCAGATAACTCTTAAATCCTAAATAAAAGTTTTAAGTCCATTAATCAAGTTCTAGTGCTATTAATTTGATCTAAGTATTCAAAAATCTATTTCCATCAGTGGTATTCAAAGTAACTTTATAACCTCAATGGTATTCCCAGAAGAAAACACAATTCAGCTAGTCAAACTTCACCTCTTATATTCACAGTACTATACTGTTTTGCCTCACTATGCTTACAGAAGTTTCTTGATCTTTGACCCCTCCTCAAGTTGTATTGCTTAAAAATTTGAAAAGATTATGAAGTACTAATCAAAACTGTCTTTCTGTTAGTAACTAATTTAACCAACAAAAACTGTGGGTTTGACATTAATATGGTAAATGATGAAGGTATTCTGGCATTTTTTTCTTAGTCATCTTTTGTTAATTATTTTAAAGATGTGTAAGAAAGCTATGAAATAAATTAAGGTAGGAATAAATATTGTTTGTAAGTTTATATTGGTATTCAAGTCAGCAGTAGGAGCTCCCGAGAGTTCCCATATATATATATATAAAAGTTGGGGAAAGGAAGCTTGGCAATTTTAAGTGTATAGGATATTCATGCTTACCTGCGGCTAGACTGCTGGTTTAGTTTTGTAGCTGCAATTCGCAAGTTCTTCTGTCCAATATTAAGCAACCTGCAAGCTTCTTCTGCTGAAGACACGCATATTTCTTGAAGTCCTGTTATATGAAGGGGAAAAAAATATCTCTCAAGAATGAGAAAACTTTCTATTATACTTTGCATCACAAAAATAATTCCTTTACACGTTACAGAATACACAATATAGTTAAAAACAGATTTTTAATGTTAATGTAGGTCATTAAGTAATTTACTCTGAACCACATGATTTTCCTTGTACCCTTCATGTTGATATCACTGGGTCTTCTTTGTCCTCGTGAAAAATCGTATTTTAAAATTTATGGAACACTTCACCTACTTCTCACCTTAGTTTTAGTATCTCAAATAGTTCAATCAAATGGTATATTAATCTCATCCTAATTAATCAAGAGAAATGAGTGAGACTAAATTCTGACAAATTTCTGCAACTTTTTTGATATTCGGATCTGTGATATTAAATACAGCAAATGTGATTCAACTTATTCCATATTTGTCTATGTGTCATATCCATGTCTTTAAACTTGGATCAGCCTCTTTTCCCAAGATACTTGATACTTAAAAGAAAAATGATTCACTTTTTCTTCATTTTAAAGTATGAAGATTGTGGATCCTCACTGTTTGGATGAACTAAAAAGGACAAACTGTACAAGTAGAAATAGCATTCTTGCCTCTTTTAGTCATCTATTCTGGTGCTCAACTTAGATCTCTCAGTTTTAACTCTGAGCAACTAAAATAAAATAATTTTTGCATCTTAACTATGCACCAGAGAGGTAGTGTGAACCAATGGCTTCATGCTTTAAACTCATAGTTGGATTATTGAGAGTTCAAGGCTGGCCCACATCATTCTGTTGTCTTTGAGCAAAACACTTTACCACATTTGTTCCAGTCTACCCAGCTTAGCTGTATGATGGATACCAGCCCTTAGCTGGGGGTTAACCTGCAATGGACTGGAATACTGTCCAGGATTGAATGGGTCACCATTATCATCTGCTTGTGCCACTAAAAATCAGAGCTCACAAGCACCAGTACTATGTGCCTTGCAAAGACATGACAAGGGTTTAAGTTTAACTAACTATACATCCAACCTTATTAAGTAAGAAATCTTTCAGTATGTTTTGTTTATTCAATTCCAAATTCTTTCAAATACATTCCCATACAGACATATATACTCTTCAGATTTGTGTACCTTGATAATATCCAGTTATTTTACTGTTTTTCAATAGATATATTTAAATGTTTATAGTTCTATATAGCTGTATGGACAAGAAAACAACTCAATTGGACTGCTAATATCCCATGTTCTCCTCAAACTTAATTAATAAGGAACTTACAAAACCAAAAAATAATTTCTAAATTCACATAACACTTTGTTCATAGTTTATGTTAACTCTAAGTTTATGGGCTTAGCTCATTGGCTTCTTGCTCGTACGAGTTTTCTTAATGTATCTTCACAACAAGTAGTAGGATTTCTTTTAAAGATTACAAGTATTTTGTACACAAAGGAGATAATTTTAATTAAAGATTTGTTATTTTTGTATTGTAAGTTACTTGCACCAAGAAATGTTTAAAATTAAGAAATAGAAAAAATGTATTTACTTTTCATTTTTTATTGAATAATCTAAAAAGACGTTTTGGTTATATCCTTAACTGCAAATCATTACACTTTAACATATAGTATAGTTTTAATGTTTTATTTTCCTTTCCTGTTCTTTAGCATTATTATTTAATGCAACACAAGTCAATGGACATCCTGGGGCAATATAACAGTATCTTTGGCAAAATGTTGTTGCTTTCGCATACACACTAAATCTTATGAACCAAGGCAAAATTTGGGTTATATGCATATGAAAACATAAATAACACATATAAAATATAAAGCTAAAACCTAAATACCATTTAATTATCTATCTAACTAACATATTTATAGGTGAAAAAGAACACTAAATACTAGGAAGGACATAAGGTGCAGAAATATTAAGAGCAGTTTGAAAAGATTATATAAAATTCTGCACGCCAATTTGAAAATAACCAATGGAAAATTGTAGTTTAAAATTAGCTCTTTCTATCTACATAAATAAAAACATTGAGTGCAAAATTGTATGACTATGTGTAGAAAGTGGCCATGGCTTCTGTTCAGGGTTTCCAAGAGTTTTATTTTTCTTTTCCCAGAACTTGTCCTAAAGAATTTGAAGGAAGGATGTGTAAACAGAGCAATTAGCTTAAGTTTTGTATACATTGAGGTCAAGTGTATGAGAAAAATTACTTAAATTACAAAGATCAAAAGCTAAGACTTGTAAATGCTTGTGCATCATGGGACAACAAAACTGAAGATTGAGTATTTTTAAGTTTCTTTTGAAATAAAGGAATTAAAAGTTAGGTATTATAAAACACTGAATTACAACATAGATTATAATGCTAATTTCACTGACATACATTGATAGTAAAGTTGCTTAATTACGTTTTGAAACTTGTTGTTAACATCAAATTTGACAATTAATGACCATGTACCTGTATCTCATCCACTTTCTTATCTGCAAATTATTCACTATTTTCAGTATGTGAAAGAAACTAAATGCGTTCAAAACATTTTAATGCAATTCAAATAAAACCACTAAATTATATTATTTACAACCTCATGTCTGGAAATATTAAAAAAAATAGTAGCACAGTGCTAAAATGATTTAATTATTCCTAATGAAGAGGTATGTGATTTGATCATATGGAATTCATGCAAAGAAAAAGAGAGAGAACTGCTAAAACCATATTTCATAACAAGACAAAAAACAGGACCTAATCACTTAACTCTCTTGCTACAGACATGGTGGATTACACTGACCTTGTGATCCCAAAGTGACCATCAGTTTCCATATTATGACTGAACATGTTTTGTATATCTTCATGAAAATTTTCAAGCATTTAAAACACTACAAGATTTTTGTAGAAAAAAAGGTAGAATTTTAAAGTATTTTTACTAAAACTTTGTCCATGAATAAACGAAGTGAGAGTTTTGACTGCTCTGCATTCAAAGTGATTTTCAATTTAAGATTAAAAAATTTATTCATCTGAAAAATATTAATTTCATTTGCATAATCTCAAAAACTTTCTAAATAAATGTTTTTTTATTTCAGTAAAACATTATATTTTACCTGTTTTTTCTCTTCCTGATTCTGTCACATTAAGGTATAATGACAATAAAGCAGTAGTATTGTACTATCCTTTTTAGTATTGATCATAAAGTTCCAAAGTACTTTTCCCGAGAGTTCCTACTTCTAACCTCACATCTATTTCCTGTTTATTATACTGTTAGAAGCTGAAGCAGATACCTGTTGAACATAAAGCAATGACAGAGCTGATAGCAAACAAACATGTGTAGCCCAAAAAGCAGACATTCTCCCAAAATTTATTGAAATTTAGGCTCTGAGAACCCAGTGGGAGAGGATTTATTGGCTTGTTTACAGTACAGTTGTTACAATACACTTGGTAGGTATTTGGATGTTAGTTATTCTCCTTGGATGGCTGGAATTCAGCAGTATAGTTGCAGAAAGTGTGTAAATTCCTATGAACATGTAAATATATTATTATGATTTATTCATAATGCTTAATTTTTAGTTATTTTTCTTGAAACTATGATCTCTAGTACTTATGATTTTATGAAATTGTGTCGTATTTGCTAAGCTTCACTGTAAGCCTAATTTATTCTCTCAAGTGAAGGGGGAAACAAATTAATTTTTGTAGCTTTCAAAGATGCATTCTAGAAAACCAAAAAGTATCAAATTACTATACTGGTACACATAAAAACCACTGTCTTTTCAACTAAGTTATATGTGGGTTAAAAAAAATCTCATTTCTGTTTAGAACAAAGATTTAGTCAACTTCAACATTTCCAGTGAAACTATGGCTTTCCTCTTCAAGTCAATTACAAACAACTCTTGATTTCTATTGGTAATAAACATGTACTTAAAAGAAGTAAGCACGAGTAGACAAGAGGTTTCAAAATAATAATAGTAATGGGAGGGGCTACTCTGATAGGTTTGCTAAATGTATTGATACCCCAGCAAATAAAAAAGGTGGGAGGCTCTTATTTTATATTCTAGCCTTTCAATGTTGAAATTTGAGTTTCTGATTCATTAACCACTACAGATGTTGTATGATAGGAATAATAAAATATAAACTGATCAATAACTCAATACATACCATTTGACCCACAAAAAAGCATAATAAAGCATTTTTAAAAATATTTTCGTTTTAATTATAAACTGTGTTTAGATGGCAACTTCATTGATATATATATTGATAATAAAGTTGTATAATTAAATTTTGAAAATAACTAATATTGTGAAATGCAATCTTTGACCTGTCTCTAGTGAGAGGGTTAAACAAGAAAGACGCATAGAGAAGTAAGATCATATAACAGTACATAACACACACACGCACACCATTGTAACAGTCTTTACTGCCCACTGAAAGGCATCTGCTCAAAACATCATACAATTTAAACTAGGAAAAGTTTCATTCAGACATGTCAATCTATTCTTTATTAACATTTACACAAAGATATATAGGGGTACGCGCAATAAAAATCACTTGAAGAGCTTTGATACACAAAGCCAAAAATGTAAACATCATTAAAATTCTAACTAATTGTTCAGAAACAAAGTATAAAACGTTTTATTATTTAAATCATGTTATAATCATTAGGTTCAAATTTCATACCATCTAAAATAGTTTGCCTAATATGTTAAATTAATCAAAATTGGTTATTACCCATTTATTACAGCATATTTGAGATCTCTTTTGAGTGCTTTTTAATGCATAAAATGAAAATTACAATTACTGCATCAATCTTTGTTTCTATATGAATAAAAGATGACAATATTCCATCAGCATTAAATTTGAGTCTTATCCAATACACCACTTCAATCTACACACCTTTTATGTAGACATTTCCATTCTTGTCTTCAGCTAAACGAAGTGTACTACGCTTTCTTCCTTGGGTTAGAGGTTCTAATAAATCAAATATGTATTCGTTATAGATTTCAGCAAAAGAAATCCAAACTGAAAATAGGATATTTCCTTGTTCCTCTACACTTACACATGAAGCCTCATGGACTCTTTCACCATCAATACCAGTTTTTTCTAATGAATCTGGGAAGAAAAAAAACATCAACTGAAATCGCCACAACAGTCTTTTAAAAAAATGAGAAAAGCAAAAACTTGCACAAATAAAACAAATAAGTCTTCAAGTTAGCCAATACACACAAAAATTAGTATTATTACATGCATACATAAAACAATTTATTAATATTACACATTTAACTTAAAAAATACACTGATTAATAAGAGCGAAAATTCATTCTTACCTTTACATAAATGATACTAGGAACTTCAAGACTGTCTTATTATAACAATTAACATACCAAAAACTTTCACTTAAACTTTGAAAGCCAATGAGTTCCTTCTGCTAAGTTATGTTTTCAACTTTTATTTCTATTACTAAGGCTCATGTATGACAATTACTTATTGATAAAATCAACAACCCAACACACATTGTCATGAGTTGGTGAAATGACCAAGATATTCCTGAATCTGCTATGTAATTTACTGGTGTGGTGGGGTAATTACAGATTTGTCATAGTTTTATTATAAGTTAATGTTTTACACTTAATTATCAAGACAAACCTATGATAGTTACAACATATTTCGAGTGGTGTTACACACTTGGATAAAAACCGAACCATACAGTTTCCAATTACATTCATACAGATCTGCACTGTCACAATAAACCTTTCTATTATTTTTGGCCAGGGTAAGCCTCGTTATAATTTTTTCTAGAAACAGGAAGGTGAAATACCATAACTTGTTAAGTAGCCTGTACAAGTTTTCTGAACTAAAAATCTTAATATGTCATGAAGTAAACACAGTGTAAGCACTAGTCCAATTTCCAGAAAAAAAATAGACATACAGGAAAATAATTTAGCAGTTATAATTTATTTTCACTTCTGTATTATCATGATAGCAATTAAATACATGTCATCTGGTCTTTCCCTCAGCCCAATCATGTGTGCTAAAAAGCCACAACAAAACTGGGAGGCCAAACTTTCTGCACCAAGCTAGATATATAGGACTAACATGAAGCCCCAGATCCAGCTGCTAGGAGAGCAAGGATTGTGTCATCATTGGGCAAACCAGATGATTCATTTTATAGACAATCAATTTTTAAAAATCCACAATGAAGAGAGGTGTATACTATTTTAGTATTTTACAAACAATAAGTTTGTTACCATTGTGCAAACTGATGCAATTGCATAAATAATTATGTTTCAAAAATATATGTTAAAAGTTTATCATTTTCAATTACTAGTTATTTTTTACAAATAACCCCAAAAACTATAAACTTAAATATCAATGTTATTTGGTATCATTCAACTGTTGAAAATACAATATTGTTAACTCTTTCAATTCTGATTACACACAAGAACTATTTCATTCAGTATCAATATTTTTTTAATCAAAAAAAGAGAGAGAAATAAATAAATAAAAGGAAAACTAACTTTGTTTATATGTACTTTACATGGATCACCAAAGAAAAAGATCTGGTTTCTTTTTCTGACACTAATCTGAGTTAGTGGTAATTTTTATATTTTAGTAGTTTATTGTATACTTATCATGTTTTGTTTTTGTTAAAATAACATTTTAGTTAAAGTTTTATTTTACAAGTAAGACAGATAGAAACTGGTTAATATATATCAAAATGTTCTAAGGTCAGATCAAACAATGATAAAAATAAAGAAAGACACTTTTTGAATTTTCCAATTTTTATCTTATGTGAATTTAAATTGAATATTTCCTGACAACAAAGCTTTGTAAACAATGATATTCACGATTAGCTTAGAATGAAATGCTTTGCTTATATTCTAGGAATTTTAGGTGAAATCAAACACTTTGAAGAACAAATGTGGCATAAATTCTTAAGAAGTGCATACATGTGGCAAGACTTGACTAGGTATCAGGCTGAAATTGCAAGGAATTTCACAAAGTTGTCGATACTGAAATAACACTAGTGATCCGAACATTAGGCCTAGCCTATGCATACCAAATATTAACAATGGAGGTTATCATAAGTGATGCTATCAGTATTTTACTGATATTTCAAAACAGAAGCATGTACTTGCTTCAAAGGAGAAAACAAAAGGTATTTTGAATTTGATTAAAGCAGTAAAGTTAACATAATTGATAAGTGTAAGTTTACAGGCCTACCCTAGTCTGTCCACCAAGACTACAGAACAGATGTGGCTTTACTTTGTTGTGTAGTCCAGGCATCACCCATGAAGTATAATTGTACAGTAAGCTATACAAGAGTAACTGTGGTTGATTTGGAAATGAAAAAGGCCTATTGTTCATTTTGCTGCAGATTTATATATAAACATTACCAGCCTCTGTCTGTGTAGTCAGGGTGGTTGGGGTTATATTTGAATTCTGTCTTTGAATACTTCATCTCACCAAATTCTTCTGAACTTTCAAAAAGGGCATGCTGTATTAGCTTTTAAGTGATTAAATTATGTACTGACAGCAGTGGTTTTCCTGAGACTTCAAAAAGTATTATATTGTAGCGTATCTGCTTGTTTGATAATTTACCGTAAAAATTCTTTCCGAGAAACTTTATAAGTAATAATAATAATATAATTAAAATGGTTTACGAGTCACGCATGCAAGCAGCTCGTGGGTAATGTAATTCGACAGCGTAACGTGAGCTGCACGTTCCCCAAGTGATTTACAACTTTTATGGCGGGAATAGCAGTTAGACACGGTTAGAAGGGCAATAAAACATTAAAATTTAATTATAAAGAGATGTATAATGTTACATCTAAGAAAACTTAGAGCTACTTAGGATAAACGAATGTAGTTTCAGGTTACAATTTGAAGTCATTCTAGAAAGAAAAGAAAGTTAATTTGGGTTTATTTAGATTTTTTTTTTGGCAGTTAGGAGGTTGGTCGAATTGATCGATACCATTTTGAGATAGGGTAGAAAAAATAAAAACTATAAGGATTTAGTGAAAAAAAAACGTTTGAAATGCATTTAGAAGGTTTTAGGTATTACACAAAAGAAATGTGAGATTTTTTAGATGATGAAAAGTATTTTTAATTTTGACATGAAAATCACTTTGCACTCAGACTAGTTAAAAAAAAAAATCAATATTTTCATGGATAAATTTAAGTAAAAATACTTCATTAAAAAATCTTATTTTTTGTGTGTAAAAGGCTTCTAATGTTTACTATAAGTCTACAAAATTTTGTAAAGATACACTTAAAATATTAAAAGTTATTAGTATGTAAACTATAACGAGGTTATGGTCACGAGGTCGGTCCCAGGGACCGAGCCCGTGTCGAAAGTGTTAAACAGATAACTGCCAATGCCATTTTAAAATTCCTTTCTGCATTGGTACTATCCACTTTACTATCAATGTATTTTAATGAAATTATTATCATCCATTGGGTTATAATCTAAAGTTTTATATTATTTAAGTTATTTCTTTATTTTAAAAAGAAACATTTAAAACAGGAATTAAAACTGCCTGAAAACGTTCCAAGAATTTCTCCCCACAGGAAAGCATTGTAAATTTTTCTAAGTTTAAGGTCAGCCATGCTAATTTCCAAAGACAAAGCTGTGATGCTAAGTGACAGTTTGAAGTTGAGTGGCATGTTTATAACCAATAGGTTTCCAGCTATTTATCTAACTAGACAAAGACATTACTGTATGTACGAAATAGAAACAAAGCTTAGTTCATTGTTGAGAGCAGGGTCCCTGGTGTTTGGCTATACTTTCTCACCTTATACATATTAGATTGAGAGAAGAAGAGAATATGAAACAGTTTGCCTTGATCCAGCCCAACAAGTGAGTGAGAGCATTCTGAAGCTACCACTCAATAAACCTTATGTTTGATGACTGACAAGAAATGTCTTTGCCAACAAAAGATGCACACATCAAAGAACATGACAAGATGTTTTAGAATGTTCAAACCACTGACACTGGAAACACCTGAGAGGGTTACGAATGTACAGCTGTACCTTACAGTTCAGACAACCTGCCTTAACAGTGGCAGGTGGATGTGGCAATGTAATTGTCAGTATAAGAACATTGGTAGGCTGCAAAAATTACATCTTTACAAGTGGAGATATGTTGCATTGAAGGAACTCTGTGGCTGGAGAAACTAGCGAAGATCTCCGACTCAAGGATGTTCTTTAAATCCCCCTCAATGATAACTCCTCGCAAGGAATTCAAAGTAGCATGGGGAGTAACCTTAATAAGTACATCCCTAATGGCCTTTGATTTTAGGGAGTTCAAAATGGATTGGTGTAAATGTACCCAAAACATAATTTCTTGATTGTCTTTTGAGAGCCAGCAAGCCCCTCTAATCCCTCCTGAATGAAAAAAGGGAGACATTTGCCCCAAAGTTTTGTCAGGCATAGAATGAAGAACTAGAAAATGAAGTACAGGAACAGTTGGAGGTAGTGACTGCAGATCAGTCTTCCAGATCTGGTTGCTTTCCAATCAACATATGTTTTTTGGGGGTCACTGGGTAAGGAATCCATAAGAAATGGAGAATATTCAGGGCCCACTGACCATATCCACCATGGAGTCCTATAAGGGGACATACTACAATGCCAACCAAGGACAGTGCAGCTATGCCAGGGTTTTGTGGGCATTATACCCAAACATCAGAATCAGACACAATGTCCACAACACCTGGTGAAAATGTTCAACAATGGCACTTAGTTGACCCTCACCCAACAGGATCAGCTGATTGACCCTGGGGAAGTCATCTGTCTACAGAAATTACAGGCTAAAGTACCTCTGATAAAACTCACCCATCAGGATGACACCCCTCAACAACCAAGATCCTTTCCTCCCATTCACGGGAAGCAAATACGTGGGTGGATGTTGGGATCCCATAGAAGTTAAACTGAAGAGGAAGAACATTCTCCAGGAGGTAGGGAAAAGAATATGGCAGTTGGACTTTATCACGATCAGAGAAATATTTCGTATCATTCACTGGTTCCAAGAAATTTTCTCCAGACCTTTGCTCAAGATGTTCCCTTGGACTTTTCTCATCACAACAGAGAAGAATTATGTATACATAATTGCAAAGTGTCACACTATTCAAACCTTTCCTGAATGGACAGGATTCAACCAACTGCTTGCTTTATAAGTTCAGCAGAAAGACACTATTGCTTACCTTCCAGTTATTGAATCTAGTCCAACAGATTTAAACATAGTGAATACCATCCGTCATCGCAACTTATCACGTTTGTATACTTGTATACAATGTTTTCCACCTTTCCACTGCCATTTTCATGTTCTGGCATCACTGTTTTGTCAAACCATGACTGCAAGATTTCTCCTTGTGACCACTGTCAACCTTTATCATCCAGTATGCATTTTCATAAAACTTTCAGCTGTATTTTTCATCTAAAAATGAAGGTAACAACAACACATGTGCTAGCTCTAATATTCCACCAGTCTATCAAGCAGTGCTGAACCTAATTTAGAAAGCAAATTTTTAGACTCCAGTTTATAAAAAAAGGTTTTTTGTGGCATGTACACTTTGCAAATATCTTCTCATCAGATTTACATTGATCATGAAACTGCAATTTGGTGGGAAAATCTCATCTCCATACTACATGAGCGTGTAACCAAGATTATACGTAACATTTCATTACAGTTGTGTCTTACTTCAATTTTATATACAAACAGTGTTCACAATTATTTTCACTAATAAGTTTACTATATAAAATGCATGTTTCAAAGCAACCTACATGAAAAGCGTATAAAAGAATTTTAACCGATCAGCTAATCTTACCACACCAATGCCATCAAACATATTTTAACATGTTGATATACAAACAAAACCAACACCACTTATTTCTTTTAACATGTACTGCTCTGAGCTCAATGGTATTTGCAACTCAGGCAACCATTATTAACTAAAAATACTTATAACTTCCCATTAACTTAAATGTACTTTTGCATCTATTAATGAAGAACACTAAATGTACAGCAAACCTGCTTCAGTGATGCAAATTACACAGAATCACCCAGAGTAAAAATCTTTAAACTTACCATGGAGTGTTTTACTTGTACTTGTACTGTTCAGACTGTCCTCAGAGTAAAGAGACTGTGTTGAGTTACAACGGGTAAAGTTGCAAAAAGGATCATTTGTTGCTATGCTATTATCAGAATCCTGGATATAAATGAAAGAAATGAAAAACATTAAAACATATGAACAAGTTTCTCCATCAATAATTAGTTAAACTTTAAAAGACTGGCAATAAAGTTATAAATCCTAACTAATCTGTTACCAAGTAGGCTTAACATAACGAATCCAGTACTATCTTGCATCACAACTTTCTGAATATTTTAACAAAACCAAAAATAACTTGGATAGGAAGTTGCTTTAAAAAAAATGAGTGCTTTTCCAACATATATAACTTTCAAGCTTGCACCAACTACAGTCAGGACATTTTTTAAAGTAATTTATACAACAGATATTGGTCTTTCTCACGCTGACCAACAATTGGTTTTTAACCTACCCATTGATAACTGAACATTTAACATTAGATTATAAACATCTACTAATATTTGTTTTTAGAAGTCTGAGTCTCACAATATCCAAGTCTTTTTTTATGGTTAACAAATCAACTGAAAACTGATGAAGATAAGTATTTCCCAAACATGCAAGGAAATGTCACCACCCACTAATTATGTGTGCATGCTGGTTGTCCATTCAACCCACTTTAGCATAATTGCATCTGTTAATTAACATTTCAGCATTATGGTTTCTTGTTAGTATATATATACATGAATACATATGCATTAATATCTTTTCTTCTTCTTGGTAATTTATAATTGACTCTTTTAATTTTGTTTTACTGCTGGACTGTTTCAGGGAAGCTACTTATCATTCTGTGATTCTTCTCCATAGATAAAGTAAACAAACAGACCAAGTTACCCTCATGACCTCACGATCCTAAGCTTATGAAATCCTAAATTATTTTACTTTTGTTACATGCCCTAGGAAAACTTTAATTTTAATTACTTTTGTTAAAAAGTATATAACAATAAATAAAACATTTAGCACTTACTCTAGGTTCCAAGCTTTTTTACTGTTGAATGCTTTTATACATTTAACCTTAATTGTTTTTCATTAAACTGATTGTCTAAAACACAAATCCTGTAGCCCTTAAATAAACATTTTTCAAACTTAAAAAAATAAAGCAGTCACTAGAATAAAACGTCCCAAAAGTAATAAAATTTATCTGGCTTTCTAAGTAAGCTTGGTTTGGTTTGAAATTTGCATAAAGCTACAAGAGGGCTATCTGTACTAGCTGTCCATAATGTAACATTGAAAGACTAGAGGGAAGGCAGCTAGTCATCACTACGTACTGCCAACTCTTGGGCTACTCTTTTACACTTTTATGAATAGTGGGAATGACAGTCAAATATAATGCCACCATGGTTGAAAGGGCAAGCATGTTTGGTGGGATGAGGATTTGAACCCACGACCCCCAGATTGCGAGTTGAGCACCCCTAACTACCTGGTCATGCTGGGCCCCACTCTAAGTAAGCTATAAGCAGGTGAAAAACAAATTTCATTAACTGTTCCGAGATGAAACAAAGAATCTACAGCCAACTAAAAACTTACAAAAAACAACAACAACTGTAATAAATTTATATAGGGGAGAACCTGGTCTTTCTATTGGCTATAAACATGTCCATCATCATGTACAGATTATATATACATAAAGCCTCTGGTTGGTTTAATATATTTATTGTTATCTCAGCAAGTTTTAAATTTTTGTTTGTAATCATATACAGTTTGCATTTCCAATTGGTTGGAAACTTTAAAAACCATATTATTCAAAATATAAAATCTGAAGTGAAAAAATTCATAGTGCAGATACATCATATAACACAGAGAAGCAAAAACAGAATTTTTTAAATATTTCTTTTAAAAAATAAACTTTAAATAATATAAGAATTTGAGTTATAAAACTACATTTTGATGCCTAGTTTATAGCAATACTTTGATAATCACATAGTATAATTAAATTTTCAATGTAACTCTGTAAAATGTCATGACAAATGCACTTTGTCCTAGCTGTATGCATGGGATTAACACAATATATATTTTGATAATAGCAGGAGAACTATTTGAATGTTTGAGGTAAGTAGTTTTCTGATTTTCTCCTTCCATAACTACACAGCGCTCTTCGGCCTTACTAAAATCAACTTTAGAGCCATAAGTTCAGTAACAGTAAGAGTGCAAAGAAAGTTTCTGTTTATTTTTTTTTGGTTTCTTTGGCTGAGTTTCCAAGAGATAAGGTTTAAATTTTTCATTACTAGAAATATTTTGACTAATGAAAGTATATTACTTGGCCTAAGATAAAAATCATTATACTGGCCAAAAATTATTTTTCATATATTTTCTGTACTTAGTTTAGGATGTGCTGCAAATTCACTGTTTAGTATAGACTTTACTTCACACCACTTACAGATTATCAGCACAGGAAATAAATTTTATTAGCTTTCAGCAAGACTTAATAAAATTGTGATGTTTTTTTTTCATAACTGTTTAACTGTCCATATACAGGCTTGTTCATTTTGACTGACCTTTTAACCATGTAACAATAAAATTATACATACTATAACTTTTAATGTAATAAGTGTATCTTCAAAAAGTTTGGTAAGCTTTTAGTAAACATTGCAAGTCTATTGTACAAAAATTCAGATTTTTTAATAAATTAATTCTACAAAAGACCGAGTGCAAGGTGATTTTTCACATTACAGATAAAAATACTACTTTTTCATATTTCATTTACATAACCTCTAGAATCTCTTCAGTGGATATCAATGTTTTTTCAGTAAGACTTTATACTCTATCTCTTAGTTCTCCACCCTAATATTAACTCTAGCAAAATCATTCGTAGTGAAAGGTAAAAAATATGAAGAAAAATCAAAAGTACATTTTTTTTTCTAGAATTACAGCAGACTGCACCAGATAATTACAATTATTTATCCCAAGATATACTGTCCTCTAGCCATTTTACAACTACTTTAATTTTGTTTTATTGCTCTATGAAATATTTAATTATTAATCTAGTGCAACAGTCAACAACATCTAAGAAGAACATAGTGCAAGTAATGGTAAAGAAACTATTGAAGTACACAATTCTCTAGCAGCTCATGTGCATTCCTTGCAGAGAAATTTTATATTTAATTTTCTACTTTATGATTCTAATTGTTACACTTTAGGTACTTTTACAATATAATACAATAGGTAAAAAATATAAACAGAAAAAAGAACAAAAGAAGTTACATACCGGTTTTGTACTTTATTTACTCTTGATAAAAGTTAGCCATAATATTTTATACCTTGTTAAAAATTAACTTGCCTTTTTTATTTCAAATATGAAATTTAGAATGCAAAATAGCTTGAAAAAGAATACAATGTTCTATAACTATTATATTTTAGCTAAATTTCCAATTAATCTATAAATCACTTAAAATAATTCCTTTGGCTGATCAAAGTGATCTCAGTGGTAGCAAACTACAAAACTGATGCAGAATAAATGAAAACCTACTGTCAGATAGAGTTAGCCATATAAAGAAAGCAGAAAATTGAAATATCCTCTTTCTATTGGTTATAAATAATTCAGTACCAAATGTCAGACTTTTTATATTTTTTCTTGATTATACTTTAGTAAAGCAAAAAAAGAGGTTACTAATCTAGATTATATACAATTTGTGTTAAACTAAGGATATCATATAGGGCTAGTTAGAATATATAAAATGGGCAATTCTGAGGAGTGTTACAGAGAAGCAAAGATTGAGAATTTATTTAAATATTTCTTTGTGAAATTAAGTTAAATGATATTAAAGTTTGATTTATTAACTAGATTTTATTCCCAAGTTTACTAATTAAATTTTGAGTGTAATTCTGTAAATGATCATGAATGTGCAATATGATACCAGATGCCAAGGGTTAATTGATCATTACAGCAGCATTTTTTAGTTTCAGTTAAAACACAGAAGTTCATTAATATTAGATCTTCAAAGTACAGTTTAAGTCTGTCACCTCTCTGGTGAACAGTCTTATCTATAATTGAGATAAACTGTTTTTTACACTACTCATAAAATATGGTTCAAATTTCACACCTTGACTATGGACACAATTAGTAAGCCTAGCATACTATATCTATATTCTAATATTTTACTAACATCTTCTTACACATTTCCTTTAGTAATAAAGTCATTGCTTTTGTTTTAGCTTTTTACTAATCCCTGGAAAACTTTGGACAATTTTCTGATAATAAAGATCATGTATTAATACCATACACATCATACAAACAGCACTTTTAAAAATAAAATATCTGCAAATAAACAAGAATGATGTTAATGACTTCCATCAAAATGAACAATCACTTTATGAATGGCATTACATACAACACTTGATATACAAGCATACAAATAATTAATTGAAAATATATTGTTATATGATTACAGTATCAATAATAGTGTTTCTTTTCTTTGGAATATTATACAATCATCAACCAAATATTTTTCAGAAAAGCTGAGTAATGTTGATATGGTTTCATTTTTGTTAGGAGCACATTAATTTTTTCATTCAGAATAACTTTTTATTGTGTCAATTCTGAAGAATGCAAAAATAAAAAATAAGCAGAAAAATGATGAGAAACAACATAGATGAATACAACAGCATCCGATGCACTTCTATAGAGCTGGCATGAACAATGGGTTATAAGTACTTAACCCAATCACTACTGGCTACTAACTTTCTGCATAGCCAATGCAAGTCTTGATATATTCCGTTCCAACAATAAAACTAGTGGATGTAATTGTTTGAAACTTCATAAGAACTTCCATCAATGCACATAGTTTAAGAAACAAGCCTGTTACTTTTGATATATTTAGTGTTTTTGCATTATCATCTTTAATATCTCAGAAAATTACATTAGAAAATGGTATTTATAAGATATGATTAGAAATGATGAGAAACAACATAGATGAATACAACAGCATCCGATGCACTTCTATAGAGCTGGCATGAACAATGGGTTATAAGTACTTAACCCAATCACTACTGGCTACTAACTTTCTGCATAGCCAATGCAAGTCTTGATATATTCCGTTCCAACAATAAAACTAGTGGATGTAATTGTTTGAAACTTCATAAGAACTTCCATCAATGCACATAGTTTAAGAAACAAGCCTGTTACTTTTGATATATTTAGTGTTTTTGCATTATCATCTTTAATATCTCAGAAAATTACATTAGAAAATGGTATTTATAAGATATGATTACGATATTTACATTTGTTCCAGATTTGAATTTTTACTTATTATGTTTTAGTACATTATTTTAAAATCTCTTAAAAACTTTTTATCGTCCATAAAACTATTTTTAATAGTCACGTACTCTCCTTATGGTTTCAAGTAATATACAATACCAAAAATAATATTTCTAAGTAAACCTAAACAAATGAGAATTTTTTATTTTTAAATAGGATTTCACGTTTATTTATGTAGATTAAAAAACATTTTAATTTTGTTTTATAAATATATTTTTATTTCAAGTTTATGTTTCAATGCAGCCGTATGTTTGTTTATTGTGCTGAAAAACAGTGAGGTTAGCAGCGTGAACTTCGTACATTTGCCATAAACTATTGCGCCTGTTGGGGGGGGGGCGTCACTCTTGTTCAGGCTCATTTGAACATTACTGTAGATAGGATAGCAAGAAAGCATTTCAGTACTTGAATATCATTTCTTTGAGCTTTCAAACAAGTTTATTTCAACACATGTCCTTGTATGTTGTTTCATTATACAGACAAAAATTTAATTGCCACTACTAGTGAATGTATGTAATAGCTTACCATACAGGTGGTTTGAATAACACCACCCGACCCTAGTTACATGATACATCCTGTTACTAGAGATTACCAAAGGATGCAGACACCATAAATTACAAAGAAAATCACTTTACAGCCCTTAAAAGGTTACTCTTGGTCACATGCATCTCATTCTAAGCAAGATTTACATTGGAACTCAAAACTTAAGATCTCGATGTATTGACACAACTGTAAGAATGTCATAACTTCCCCTGTATTGTTGAGGCAAATGTGTTTAGTCTGTTTCACAACAACATATTTATTGTTGTCATTTGTACACTGAGTTTTAAACCCTTTGCAAAATATCAGAATAAACTTTTATATATCAGTTAGACTGTTTTAATTATAAAACAACAACAACAGAAGTGTGGGTCTTACTACAAAGTAAAGATAGCAAGAAGGAAAAATATAATATTCTTACATGGTACTAGTAGTACGTACAAATCACACAAGGTTGTCATTCTAAATACTGTATCATATCTTTATTATGAACTACATATAAAATTATACTAAAATATTGAACTTAAAACTGCTCATTTAAATGCAAAAGTACATAAAAATCACAAACTCTTTCAGTTTAAAGTGCTAAGCCTAACTCACATAAACACCATGCACTCACCATTATTTTGAGTTAGTTTTTCAATATAATGATTAATATAAATAAATATACAATATAGCATAATTTAAGCTACTATATAAAAAAAAATAAAAGTCACATACATCCTATGCAGTTTTTTCCAGTAGGTAGGTAGGGGATTAAGCAAAGTGATGACAGAGTATTGCTGTTATTCACTAAAAACTAACCGTTATTTGGTACAAAAATGTCTATAATTATAATAACAAAAGAATTTACCAACTGTTGAATATAATGGTCAAATACAAAATATATTGAAAATTCTGAGAATGTCAACTAACGTAAGGAGTCGGATTTTATTTCCGATGTATGAATTCATATAATCACAAAAGTTACTTGGCATGTTTATATTAACTCTTTTGCTAAGACTCAACCAAGTTAGTGACCCCCAACTGACCATTAGACTTTCCATATTATAACTTCTAATATGTTATGTGTATCTTAATGAAATTTCAGTAAACATTATAAGTCTTTTGTAGAGAAAACATCAGAATTTTTAATGAAGTTATTTTTCAAAAATATATGGAGTTAAAGTGTTGAATACTTCAAGTGCAAAGTGATTTTCATGTTAAGATTAAAAATACTTTTCTTCATCTGAACTACACAAATTTAAATACAAAAGAATATAAAAATATGACTAATAACATACGGGTGGTAAATTTGAACAACCTTGTAATTACCTTAAAAAAATACAAAATAAATCTAAATCACCATTTTTTTTCTATCTAGAATGACTTCAAGTTGTAACAGGAAACTATATTTGCTTATCATAAATAGCTTAGAACTTGTAACAGTATACATGGTTTTATATAAAGTTTATAGTTTTTATTGCTCTTAGCCACACAAGTTATAAATCAATTGCAGAACATGTAATGCACGAGCTACTCACCAGCATATCCCATGAATATATTTATTATTTTCATTTTACCTAACAAGTTTCTAATTTTTACATTTTAGTTACCTATAATCTGTACAAGTATAATAGTACTGTCTGTTGTATGTCCATCTAACTACTTCGCAGGGTGTGGATGGATCTTTACCAAATTTGTTATGAAGGTTCATTGGGTCCATGGGGAGCTGCATACAAATTTTCAGTTTTGCATTTTTTATGGGCATTTTTGTGTTTCTTAAGCCTACTTTGCCCCCCTGTTGTTGGATCTTCATCAAATTTGCCATGAAGGTTTGTTGGGCACATGCAAATTTGTGGTTTCACATTTTGTACTCTGCCGTTATATGGCCATTTTTTACAATTACATATAAGGGAAACAATTTTTCATGTCCTAAGATAACCTTTCATTAATCATGAATTTACATAACTTTCGTCCAGGAGATGAGTACTCCAGCTAGTATTTATATAAATACAATATGTCTGTTGTATGTCCATGTAACTACTTTTTTGCAGGGTGTGGATGGATCGTCACCAATATTGGTATGGAGGTTCATTAGGTCCATGCAGGGATACCTATAGATTTTTAGTTTTTATGGGCATTTTTTACCACTACCTCACCTCCTGTGGATGGATCTTTACTAAATTTGGTATGGAGGTTCATTGGGTCCATGGGGAGATACATACATACATAACTTCTGTCCAGGGAACAGGTACTCCAGCTAGTATTAAATCAAGAATAAACACGAAAAACAAGAAATATAGTACTTACCAAGGATTTTTTTTTTTTGCTGTTGACTGTCAGTGAAATTTAAACCTACATTTTTATACTAATGGTACAACTGCATTAAATAATTTTTAATTAATTAAATAGAACACAATATTAACACTTAAAAGAAGACACTGTCCCATAACTATGACAATAACCATTAAAATATCAGCTAGGCTCCTCAATGTTTTTCTTAGGAATACAGTTTCAACTGGAAGTGAAAGAGACAATTCTCTGTACATAAAACATAATGCAATGCATCAATTGATGGATTAAAACTTTGGCTTACTACTGGTTATAAATAATATAGTATTAAACATCAGAGAGAACTATTAGCAATTTGTGAAACAGAGGATGTGACTGGTGGGCATGGAAAGAGGGGTCTGATTTTCTAGTCTGTGGCTCTGAAACTAAAGAAGATTGAAGGATACAGAAACTATATTTTGCCTGAGTAATAACTATTTTATAGTAAGTAATTTATGTTAAATCCCATACTTCTCAGAGGGGTGGTAAATCAATTAGAGAAGAGGGAAAATTTAGCAAATGTCACAATTCTCATACTAGGGGAGATCAAGGATTTTTTTTTGTAATGTTTCCTTATGAAATTAAAAACTTAGAACATACATAATAATAAAATTTGGATTATTAGGTACATTCTAATGCCAAGTTTATTCATATAACATAATAAGAAAGTAGTTTATTTAAGTTTTAAATATAACTTGGTAAAACTTTCTAACATGAGCAAACTAACTTATCCTGATCAGAAACTAGTATTCATACCTCATATTTATACCAACATTTTAATATGTTTTCTTTATGAGAAATTTCCTGTTTTTCCTCTTTAGGTGTGAGACGAACAACTTCACAAAAAAAACGAGGTTTGAAAGGTATTCCTTGAATCTGTCGGCCTTTGATGCTGTTGAAGAGTGTGTCTAAAGCTCGTGGAATTACCCCTGGTTCCTGTGGTGTTCCTAGAATTATAACATAAACATTTCAGTGCAGGAAATGCTTAAGTTTATGAGCAAAAGCTGATCTTTTCTTGTCATAACATCTTCAGTAATTTTAGTTCCAATACATATACAGATTCCCTGCTCGTATCCAGTAATTTTTATGTTTGTTGATCAGAGACTGAAGAGGCAAACTATTAGCTCTACTAGGTGTTAAACTTTTAACTGTTTCGATCAGTTAAAAAATATGAGCATCATATTTAATGGAATGAAGTTTAGTTAGTATACATGGATAAGTAGCAAATTCAACTTATGTCTGATCCAATATAAATAAGCCAAGGGTCCAGGATCTTAGGCTGTCTCCAAAAGCTACAGGGGTCTACATTCTAGCAATTTTGAGGTACCACATATTCACACTATTTACTGCTACGATGATCTGGAAACACTGGACTTTTACCACTTTTAACACATGTTCCAATGATATTTCAAGAAATATCTAGAAATACTACATAAATGTTTATAATTGCAATGATTAATGTAGCAAACTACACACTGGTCTTTTCATGAAATACTGAGGCAATACTTGTACAAATTAGTTTCCACTAGGGCAAATTACTAACCAATCATTTATAAATTATCTTTTAAAATGCAGATACTGAATATTAGGCACACTCATGCATGAAACTCTACCAAATCTACTAGATTTTTTCAATTATAAAGCTAATTCACGCTTTCTGGAATTTGTATGCATTGCTACTCATATTTTTTAAACAAATTTTGGCTAATAAGGAAATATGACAATATCATGGCAGATAGTGCAAATCAGTAAGACTCAAATGTTGGTTAGAATTTTTTCTTTTAAGAAATGTACTAAATAAAACCTCTCACTTGCATTCAAGTATCTAGATTTTTTAGCAAGCTTTTGACAATACATGTTAAATAAAACTGTGATAAAATGAATGTAATACTTTATGAGATCTATTACTCTCTATCTATGACTTGACCATTCTGTGGAACAATGTAAATTGCTGATGTAATTTGTGAGACTGAAAATAATTTCAGAATCTGTGACATTTAATGCTTATAATAATTTACAACAATTCTGACAACTTTGTCTCACAGTTGGTCCCTCCAATTTTTATCAGATCAGAAAAGTGCTCTTTCTAATTTAGGCTTCATCTAAATGATTTAATACATAAAAACACAATTTAATGGAGTTGAAATGTTTATTCCATGCAATTATAAAAAAAATGTCAAAAAGCACAAACACCATTAACCCTATTCATTTGGGCTCATTCAGTTTGATCAACCATTCTGAACGTATTAAGTGTATTAGTAAAAATTACATGGCTGTCGTATACAAAAAAGTATTTTTGCTAAAGAATTATCTATGAATTAACAAAGTCTTTACTAAGTCAAAGATGATTTTCATGCTAAGAATAAAAACACTTCTTTTCATCTTTCAATTTTATATATTTCATTTTCATAACCTCTAGAACATTCTATATGAATACTAATTTTTATATAAAACTTCATACTTTACTTTTATTTTCTCTATCCTAATACTAACTGTAAGAAAATCAACAATGTATAGAAATATTAACACTTTCCAACAATGGAAATGTATTTCTAATAGATACATACCTCTTCTCACATATTAGCTTTCCTGATTCAATGCTGCCTCTATATGCACAATTTTCCTCTGCCATTAGATTTGAAACTTCCACCTAGGATCACACTTTTCTGCATGATATTGCTGCACTGTTGAATAAAGTGAGCATGCAACAACCCTCCACCAATAGGAGTGCAACAAACCCTCCTAGCACACTGAAATGTGCAAAAAAAGTATGCAGTGTTTTCCACATGCCAGCCTGCACAAGCTCCTCCAACAGACGATGGAATTAAGCAGCCCGAGAAAAAGTAAGGCATCAAATTTGATGAGAGGTTACATGAAAAAGTTAAGTGAATCTTCATCCAATGAAGCCATCCCTTGAGGATAATTGGAGAAATATCTTGGGTAGAGGAAGAAATCCAAGGAATAAATAGACAAGAGCATGAACCCCGAAATGAACCAGCACAGGCCAAATAACAGCAAACTGCATGGATGGGACAGAGAAGGCAATCAGGATCAGATGGAGAGTAAAAGGCAGAAATGGATGCAAGGGAAACAGGAGTAAATGTTCTGCCTCCTTCACAAGCTGTAGACTTTTTAGGTAGAAAAGAATAAAGAAGAATATATGAACAATGAAAAGAATATGGGAAAAATCGTTGGCATACATATCAGATCACTGACATTCACAGGCAAAAAAGGAGTAAGAAAAGATGGTACCAAGCACAAGAGAAAAAAAGATTCAAAAGGAAGAAGGGTAAAGGCACAAAAAACAACATTCGGGTCCCAATTAGGAAGAACAAAGGTGTCAAAAAGAACAGAAGAGTATAGTAAGGACTGGAGAGAAAAATACATAATGTCACAAAACCCTGAAAGTATTAGATAGGGCTGCCCTGTAACCAGCAATAGCTGTTAGTGATAAACTAGGGTTGAAGAGCCCGATAAAAAATTCAGAAACATGGTTGGTTGGTTGGTGTTTTATGGCACAAAGCAGCTAGGCTATCTGTGCCAAACAACCGGTAAAAGCAATGAAAGTAGAGTTAAAGTAAAATGTAAAAAAACAGGTAATTAAAATCAATACATGTCAGTAAAAGATTTATATAGAATTAAAAATACCTTTAATGTGTAAAAAATTAAAAATACAATCTAATCGGACAGTGTCACCATTACCAATGACACAGTCCAGCGTCAGGGGTATACTTTTAGAAAAAATGTGTCTAAAATGGTGCCGCCGCTCACGATTGTAACAACGGCACGACAGTAAAATGTGGGCTATTCTGACTTGAGTGTCACAATGGCTACACATCAGTAGGTCAATACCTGATAAAAGAAAACGATGGGTTAAAAAACTATGACCAATGCGTAGCCTTGCCAGGACTACTTCCGATCCTTATGGATGCAAGACAGCCAAAGACCAACAGAAGGTTTGATCTGGAAAAGCTTATTATGGCATTGCTCACTCCAAGTCGACTGCCAACTGGCACGAAGCCACGCCTTGAAGACAGGACCGTAGTCCACGTATGCGACAGGCACGGCCATGATGGCACCAGAGCAGACGGACTTAGCTGCGGTGTCAGCGAGCTCGTTCCCGTGAATACCAACATGGCCAGGGATCCAGAAAAACTGGATGGAAATAGAAGATAGAGAAAAGTGGGCCAATCAGTGTAGAATATCGACAAGAACAGGGTGAGAACTAACATTAAGCAATTCCAGGGCCAGTAGAGAGCTAAGAGAATCAGTGTAAATAGTACAATTACTGTACTGCATAGCTTCTACATGATCCAGGGCAAGAGAAATAGCATATAACTCGGCAATGAACACAGAAACTGTAGAGGGGATCCTGTGAGCAACTACCGAGCCACAGCAAACCATGGTAGAACCTACAGAGTCACCTGATTTCGAACCATCTGTGTAAATGGGAAGAGAGGAATGGTTCGAAAGATATTCAGCAAAAAGAAGATGGTACTTCCAATCGGGAGTATCCGCCTTCCCCAGATGACTCAAGGAAAGGTCACAGGATGGGATGGTAATAAGCCATGGTGGAATGAGCTGATCATTGGGGACAGCAATGTCATCCAATGCCAGACCAAATTTAGCCAGTAATGCCCGGATACGAAGGCCAAATGGAGGAATAGTAGACCGTTTGTTCTGAAAGAGCATTGCCCACTGAGGAAGAAAAACACAATCCCAGGTGGGATGCTGTGGTAAGGATCGAAGCTTAGTAGCATATTGTAGAGAAAGTTGCAAACGACGGAGGTGAAGAGAAGGTTCGTGGGACTCAGTGTACAAACTCTGGACTGGAGAAGTGCGAAAAGCACTGGTGCAGAGCCGAAGCCCCAGATGGTGAATGGGGTCCAGCATCTTCAGGGCCGAGGTCCTGGCAAAACCATAGACCAAAGACCGATAGTCCAGTTTGGATCGAATCAAAGCATGATAGATCCTGAGCATAGAACATTGATCGGCTCCCCAAGAGCTGGAAGAGAGGACACAAAGGATGTTCAGACCCCTTGCACACAGAGCAAGTTTGAGTTC